GAGTAATGAAAGAAGTTGAATAATGAGCTTGATAATTCTCATACCAATTCGAACATTCATATTTGAAATGTCCAAGCTTGGGACACTTGTAGCATTCAAGTGTGTCCTTGATCAGGTCTCTTCCTCACCTTCCCCTTCCTCTTCCTTGGTAGTGTCCTCCCCCCTCTGACATGGCCTCTGCCACCTCTTCCTTCATATTCATGTGACATCTTCAACACTTGATCTTTTTGATCACCAATTGCCATTTTGGTAAACTTTTTCTCATGCACTAACGATTTTGCTATAGGAAAGTCTTCCCTACAGTTCCTCATTGAGTTTACAACCACCATGACCATGCAAAGTAGGTACTCACAGTTTCTCCTTCCTTCATTTCCAAAACTTTATAGGTTCTTCCGAGTACCTCAATTGTGCTTTCTGCACCCTGACACTTGCTTGATACTTGATCTTCATGGAATCCTATAGATCCTTAGTTGTTTCCTTGTTGGTAATGGTTTTTATTTGCCTTGTCAATAGAACTAAACATATAGTTCTGGGCTTTAACATCTTTTAGACTTAGATCTTGCAAGCCTTTCGACTCTTCAGCTTACAAGGCTACACCTGAAGTTGGCTCTTGAATGCCCTAAGTCACCACACTCCAGTATTCTTTGGATCTGAGTAGGCTTCCACCAGGAGACTCCAATTCTCATAGTCCCCATCAAACTTTGGTTTACCAATTTGTGCAAAACCCACTGTAATCGCTCACCTCTCATAACATATTTGTTATCTAGCAACATTCTGGAAATCTCTCACCCTTTATTTGTTATGAACTCACAAATCCCTCATGTTTCCCAAATATTCTTTCTGCAGATCTCTCACTCTTAATCACACAATAACATGTTATAGTTTGCAAGAGTGCTCTGATAGCTAAGAACATGTTATAGTTTGCAATGTGCACTCGAATAGGGAGCAAACTTATACATTTTATTGAGGAAAATGAACAAAAGTATATGTACAAAAATGCACTCCATCAACAATCTCAACTCCCTCAATGTTCAAATCAAGCTCCCATGACCAACTATCATCTAACAACACAAGCTGAAAGCTCCCATTAGCTAACCACACGATTCAGGACCCAACTGCAACAAATTAAAAACTACAAGGACAAAAAACAGAATTCAACAAGCGATGCAGTATTGACTTAAAACAATAAATTCAAACTTCTCACCTTTCGTCCTTTATTCCAGCCACCGGGGTTCGATTCCTGACAATATTCGTATGATTGTACACAATTATGAAACCCACCACCTATTACATGCACAATTAAAGGGGTTCGGTAGACGGTATTGCTAGTAGAAGTAGTAGTACTGTTATGTCTCCTTGTATAGCAGCAGCGTTGTACCACCCGCTTACTAGCGGGTTACCACCACCTAGGGATGAGCACTGGGCAAGTTAGGTGGATTTTGGTCTAAAATTGACCTACCTGCTTACAGTTAGAATACATGTGACCCGCAATCCACCCACATACTTATGCGGGTTGGGTTAGGTGGGTAGCGGATGAGTGCGGTTGGGTCGCGGATTAACCCGCAAAAGCAATTCTCCAACTAGCCATTAAAAAAATTAACTAACATTTATAATAAATTCTTAGCAAATTAGGAAGATTGTATCAATAATTTGTGATTTTGATACAATTAATAATTTATAGTTTGTATCCCAATATTTAATGGATATTAACAATAATTTGCATACCAATATTCAATATCCAATAGATATTGCACAACACAATAACCAATAATAGTAGTCAAAATTATTCTTTATTCTCCACATTTTGAAGTATATGGTCAGACTAGGGTAGTTCGAAAATATGATGAATATTCGATCCTATAAAAAACAACATTTTTCCATGTAAAAATAGGACGCGGGTCAAACGGGTGACCCGCAATCCACCCACTATCCACCCACATAAGTGCGGGTTGGAGATTTAACAATCCGCAATCCACCCACATCAATCACCCAATATGTATGGGTTGAGTTATTTGCCGGTGGATCAATATTAATCCGCGGATTAACCACCCACGTGCCCACCCCTACCACCACCGCTTATTCTCTTTCCTCGATCATTCGTGCTCATCCAAACCCCATCTCAGCAGAGAAATTCCTCTCTCTTTTCCACGTCGGCCGCCAATTTCTGAAACTCCCCATGTCGTCTCTTCCCAACCCCACTGGTGACTTGCTTCGCCCCCAAATTCACGCCGACAAGAAGGAGAAGCTCACAAATCCCAGCTCACAATTGTTATTTTGGGATTGAAATATCGGATTGAAGCATTTCTAGGGTTTGGAAGACAACAAGCTCAATATTTTTTTTATTTTGATCGAATTCAACTATCCTTTTACTAATTGAACTTGTTTTTGCTTCCACATGGTGATTTCTCACACTTATATTTATGTGCTTCTTTTCTTAATTGGCTGTTGAATTTGAAAGTTGGGGAATTAGCGGCCAATTTTGGGATTCAATGTGATTGGATGCACTTGTCGTTTTGTGGTAGAGAAGTAGCTAGAATAACGAAACCACGTACCTACTCACAGTTGAGAAGGAAGATCTAGTATTATAACTGTGTTTTTTTTTTCCGGGCAAATTCAGGAGCGATGACATTGCAATCTAGAAGAAGAACCGAAACACGTAGCAATTAAATAGGAAGATCGACTGTAAAAAAAATAAATAGGAAGATCATTGGGCTGCCATTGGAAGATTGGTGATGACATTGTGAACAAGGAGTGATGCCGGACAGCTTAAATCACACTCTGATGGGAAGCAACGCCAATATAAACGAAAAAGAAAGGGGGAACAAAAGTGGTTCGGCTGCAAAATAGGTTACCCTGCTGCTTCGAGGAAGACGGCATCAAAACTGCCAGTGTACAAGTCGTTCACCAATTTTGGTTTTTCATACAGACGCTTCTCAGCAATTTCGAACTTCAAGACATGGAGATCAGCTCCCCACCGAAAAGAATGCATCGTGCCCTCCACCACATCTGGAGGAGCCGCCGCTAAAGAGATCCTCAAAACTGAAAGCCCTACAAGACCACCATCACCTGTGGTATACACAAAACAAAATGGGCTACTGCTGCACAAGTGACCAGCAGCAGCAGCGCCACCACCATCCTGCTCTAGTTCAACCACTTGGCAAGCATCGAGAGTACAAAGCTTATTAAAGGGCAATGCTTCAGGGATCTGCTGTTCGTGCAACAATCTACCATCCTCGCAGTGGACCAATGCAACATATAGACCAACCCTCTTTAGATTGGCCTCAGAAATCACCGCAAAAACGACCACGAAACAGCAGTCTTTCTCACCCTCATTGCCCTCCTTCATCAACCTTGACGACAATGTTTTGGCGCCTGAAGGGAACGGAAGTATGTCCTGTTTCCACTCCAGAGCGTCAACATCAAAGGCATACACTTGGCTGCCCACTCCGACGTACAGCTTGTGGCCGACGACCCCCACCACGTTCTTGAAGTAGTGAGAGCAGGTGCCCTCGTCGTAAAAGGGCGGCACAGGAAGTGACTTCCAACTGGGGTTGCCATCTTCATCCAATGCCAAAACCTGGAAGCACTTGCTAGGGTCTTCAGGGGACCCGTTCCTTCTCAAGCAGCAGTGATCTCCGTAAAGGACGTACACATTGCCCTTGATCTCTGCGACTATTGGAGACGGCATAGGGAGAGGCAGAGGCAGATCGTCGAGCTGGTGGAGGGTGCTGGTATCGGGATTGAATTCGTAGAATTTGTCACTCGATTTCTTGCTCGACTTGAGGAGCTGATAAGGTAATCCCCAAATACCTTTCCCCCAAGGTTTGCCCCCTGCAGTTTCCCCACCGACCAAGTATGCGTTACCATTGAACTTGAAGAAGGCGTTCCCAATTGGGAAACCGCGATCGACATCGAGGAAATTTTGTTCACAGACAACCTTTGGTGCTAAAACCTCATGTCCATCCCATTCACCGACAACCGCTGGCTTATCCTCGAAAGCCTTAATCCCCCAAATCCAACTACCGTACTTGTACTTCAGGTAAAGGTTCTTACCTTTCCAGTTCTTATCCGTCTCCGCCGCCTGCAACTTCTTCGTACCTGGCGCCGGCTTTGAGGATTCCCCACCTGCGTTCATCGTGATCCGCAGTCCGCACGAAGCCTTCGATTTCTACTGTGATTCCGATTGCGCTTGCCCTAATCCCCAATCTCAATATATACACTGGTTGGCTAGATAGCTAATGTAACGCTATCAAGAGTATTTATAGAACTCTTTTCCTAATTCCAAACAGAAAACCTAACACCTTTTCCTAATCTACAAAGAAAAGGCCAAAACAAAGCCCAAATACAAGCCCAAAACACAAAAAAGACCTAAATCAAATTCAAGCCATATTCTAACAAAATTAAACTGGACTGGACTTCTATCTGAGCTTTCTTGTGGAGCTTTTATCGTGGACTCCAGCCCATTGGGCCCAGTAAGTCCGCATCAGCAGAGCTCTAGCGCAGCAGCCGATGGTTCTTGTCGTCGCTAAAATAATTCTTCAATAGTGCTGCAGGCAGCGCTAGTTAATAGTAATAGACAAAAGTGTTAGATTAAATGAAATAGTTTCTTCTCTCGTTTAGCTAGAGTTTTGGATAGGAGAATTTTGTGCCTACCATTCTTATCTTGACTGTAGATATCAGGTAACATTCACCTTTTAGCTGATCCTGTGCTATTGCAAGACCCTTAGGCTCTTCATGCCTGGTGTACATTATTAAAATCTTTTTGCAAGAAAACTCCAAAAAGGAAAACGAGAGATCATGAATAATTGCTTGAGAAAGAAGAGTGATGCAGACCACAAAAAAACAATAAAATGCTGCCTATATATTTTTTGTGTTCTATGTGCCGTGAAACGAGGCTAAAGATCCTATAAAGTCGAAAACGCAGTATAAATAAGAATAATGTACATGATTATTAACTTACAAAAGTTAGCCCATCACTCCACCATTATTGGAAGTTCAACATGATGGCGGCTTCCAGCACCAACAGTACTGGTTCAATCTCCATCAAACAACACAGATACATCGACCATGGCAACCCGAGCTACAGAGATCCCAGTAGAAACTCCACCTCAACATCATCGTGGGGCAAACAACTTCTTCCTCGTCGTCACCGTAAGTTATCATGCACCGCCGAGTTGCAGCAGCAGCAGCAGATTTTGAGCATGCATGAAGAAGAAGCGGACAAGATCCGACGGCTGCAGAACGGGTCGGACGTTCGAGGGGTCGCGCTGGAGGGAGAGAAGGGCCGGACCGTCGACCTAACCCCGCCGGCGGTGGAGGCCATATCGGAGAACTTTGTTTTTTGGACATGTTTTATTGATATTTGAGGTATTGAGACAATATGAACTATTATGAGTCATGTATTCTTGTTATGATCAGACTTTTGTGAACTATTATTAGTCTTTTTTATGATAGTCATGGATATTTGGATTTTAAATCTTATAATTATCTTATTATGTTAAACTAATATTTATAATGTTATGTGGACTATTAAGTTGATGATGAATCTAAATCAATATTTGATGATGTTATATGCGTTAATAGGTTGATGATGTTATATGCTTTAATAGGTTGATGATGTATATTATTATACTAAGTTAATAATTAATGATGTAATGATCAGACTTTAGTGAACTAGGATTTCAAATATCAACTTATAGTTTATCTTCATCGAATTCCTTCTATTATAGTCGGCTGCGGGTTAATCGGGTTACGGGTTCGGATCGATCGGATTGCGAGTTGGTCGGGTTACAGGTCGAGCGGGTTGCGGGTTGGTCGGGTTACGGGTCATTGACTTCTAGTCAAATCAGGTTGCGGCCGGGTTGCAGGTCGGGTTGATCGGGCGGGTTACTCGGATCGAGTTAATTTTGACACCTCTAGTTGTCATAGCATCTAGTCCCCTCTTCGTAAGCAAGAAAAGGACTAAGAGAAAATACAACCTCTGAATCTGGATTTATTTTTGAACAAGTATTTATCCGGGGATCAAATATAAAAAAAGACTCTTCAATATTTGGAGTGGGCCGAGGCCTTTCTGATCGAATATCAGGCCTTGTTGAAGATTGGGCTTGAACCATGATTCCTCATCGATACGATGAGAATGTTGTGGCCTTTCATTGGATTCCCATGTCCAATGAATCCGGATGGTTCAATTGAAACAGGTGAAGCTGCTTTGTTGGACAATGGCCAGAGAGTTCCATCAACATGGAGGATTTGACTTCCATGTTAAACCAGTCACAAATCTCATGACGTTCATTCTTTCTCTATCTCAATATTGGCCAGTTTCCAACACGATTTATAAGAAAGTAATTAGCTACCGTACATGCACTTTTCACAATAGCTCAAATTAGTGGGAGTAATTAGTTTATGACGTGATATAAGTTATGTATATAAATCATAACGTTTGCTATGTTGATCGGACCAACTATATAATATCGAGTAGGCTCTTCATGCCTGGTGTACATTATTAAGATCTTTTCCCAAGAAAACTCCAAAAAGGAAAACGCGAGATCATGAATAATTGTTGAGAAAGAAGAGTGATGCAGACCACAAAAAAACAATAAAATGCTGCCTAGATATTTTTGTGTTCTATGTGCCGTGAAACGAAGCTAAAGATCCTATAAAGTCGAAAACGCAGTATAAATAAGAATAATGTACATAATTATTAACTTACAAAAGTTAGCCCTTCACTCCACCATTATTGGAAGTTCAACATGATGGCGGCTTCCAGCACCAACAGTACTGGTTCAATCTCCATCAAACAACACAGATACATCGACCATGGCAACCCAAGCTACAGAGATCCCAGTAGAAACTCGACCTCAACATCATCGTGGGGGAAACAACTTCCTCGTCGTCACCGTAAGTTATCATGCACCGCCGAGTTGCAGCAGCAGATTTTGAGCATGCATGAAGAAGAAGCGGACAAGATCCGGCGGCTGCAAAACGGGTCGGACGTTCGAGGGGTCGCGCTGGAGGGAGAGAAGGGCCGGACCGTCGACCTAACCCCGCCGGCCGTGGAGGCCATATCGGAGAGCTTTGGGGAGTGGGTCGTCGGAAAGGGAGTAGAGGGTGATAATAATCCGGTGAAGGTCTCGTTGGGCAGGGACCCGAGGGTGACCGGAGGAGCATTGAGCGTGGCGGTGTTTTCCGGGCTGTCGCGGGCAGGTTGCATGGTCTACGATATGGGACTAGCTACGACTCCCGCCTGTTTCATGAGCACTCTGTTGCCTCCTTTTGCCTTCCACGCCTCCATTATGGTACGTTGAAATCTCACAACGTCTCATTAATTGATCGTTAGTTCTGTTATGGTACGTGAGTTTGGATGGTTGTTTTGCATTATATAGATGACGGCGTCACACTTGCCGTACACGCGAAACGGGCTGAAGTTTTTTACGAGGAGAGGGGGGTTGCGGTCGTCGGAGGTGGAGGAGATATGCGAGAATGCGGCGAGGAAGTACTCCAACCGGCTGGTGAAAGTTTCGACGTTGCTGAACCTGCCGCCGACGAGAGTGGATTTCATGAGCGTTTATGCGCAGCATCTGCGTGAAATCATCATGGAGAGGGTGAACCACCCGTTCCATTACGACGCTCCCCTGAGCGGGTTCAAGGTAAGTTCTCTATGGAACAAAGAGTTTACGTTGCTTCATTTATGACCACTCACTAGAAAAGAGAGAGATCGGGTTTATGCATGTTTCTTGTTTGCATCCTACCCCTATCTTCTTGTTTTTCTTATCTTCCCTCCTGCGTAACGTTACCATAAAAACCAAAAAAAATGAAGTTTGTGGTGGTAGTTAAGTTCGCGAGATATCGCAATCGTAGATAGATGTTGTGTGTGCTTGTAAATGGGCAATGAGATTGACCGATCTCATTGATGAGATTGTGGGGGGGAAACAAGTTTTGTAAGGGCTAGTTTCGTCCTGTCATATCTTTGGCGAGATCTTCTTCTGGTTGGACTTCTTTAGAAAAGTAATTTACATTTTTTTTAGTGTTTGTTGAAAAAATATTTGAAATACTTTTAATAAAAGAGGTAATAATGTAAAATGAGTATAAACGTTTTTAATAAAAAATGAATAAAAATAAGAAATTAGTATACTGAATTTTTTTTTGAATTTTTTGATATGAATTAACATTATTTTTGAATTTATTTTAATTTTGATATGATATAAATGAAAGAAGATTATTTTTTATTTTAAAAATTAATTAAGAAAAAAATAATTTTATATTGTCAAAATAGTTTTTCACACAAGTTATAATTTAGTTTTTTTTCTTTCATGTTATAAAAAATACTTTTTATTTTCTTAAAAGACATAATTTTTGAATTTTTTTTTGGCTCGACATCAAATCTTAAATTAGAGATGTTTTCTAAAACCCAAGTCAACCATATGTTAAATATGCTTATATTTCTACAACTATTAGACGAAACCGTATAAAACAATCTAGATTGTGGGAAACAGAAATGAGATTGTTTTGTTTGTTAGACTGATATATATTCTAATAGATACATCACTTCTTACTTTCACTTCTTAGAGATTAAGGTATAAAACTGAAAGGGTGAATTACACGATTGGTCACCCAAATTACATAAATATTTCACGTTTGCCACCCGAATTACAAACCTTGCTTATTGGTCACTCACTTTACGAAACATTTCACCGTAACCACTCGACGTCAGCCTCCGTCAGACTCCGTAACGGCGTTAGATTTTTGATGACGTGGCAAACGGAAACTCTGACTGGGCCGACAGAAACTAAAAGGGACGGCTGACCTTGACCCGAGCCTCGTTGACGTAGCTACCGCGCTGCTGCGGATCGTAACTGGCGATCAACTGCGCCACGAGATCAAAGTGAATGTTGGCGTCGAACCGGAGACGAAGTCCCACAGGCCAAGCCGCTTGAGAAGCTCCTCGTGAGAATCAAAGTCGAGATCTTTCGTGGGCTTGAATGGAATGGGTTTGAGGTTTTCGTTGAGAGCCTCGAGCTTCTTCTGAATCTTCTTCAACCTAGACGCAATTAGTCGCTTGCTCTTTTTCCCCTTCAAACCGCCGCCGCCGCCGACTATTCGACGGATAGAGGAGGCCGATGTGTGCGAGAACGAAATCATGAGCGCTGAGCTTGTTAGATCTTCTTGATTTGAATCGCTGTCTTGTGAGTCGGGGACATCATTCAGGGTCAGGGTTTCAGAGGATTGGGGAACAGGCGGATTCTCGGCAGAATGTTGAGGTGGTGGGTTCTCCTCCGATTGCTGCACCGGGGGATTTTCATTCGTCGCCGCCGCCATGTTTGCTATTGCTCTCGAATCTCAACAGTGCATTTTCTGAGTGGTTGCCTTCTCAAGTACGAAGGTCGATTGGTTGAAGTTGAAGATCAAGAGAGTGATAAATGGGCTGGGTCTTTCTTCCATTTCAGTTTGGCTAAAGGAGTTAATTAATATCAGTTCTTTGGTTCACCTGCCTGGCTTCTCTATCTTCTTCTGGTTTCCATTTCGGCCGGCCGACCTCCTTGCACGCTCTGCTGGAGTGAAAAGAAAGGGGGGAAGAAGAAAAGCACGACAAGAGGAAAGAAGAAGGGGAATCAGCTTCTCCAAAGTAAAAAAAATTAATTAAAGCAAAGTAAAAAATAAAAAATAATGGGCTCCGTCCTTTTCCGGGTTGGGTGCTTTGCTGGCTCGGGTATTCAGGCTGACTCAGCCTTTCTGTCGGCCCAGTCAGAGTTTCCGTTTGCCACGTCATCAAAAATCTGACGCCGTTAACGGAGTCTGACGGAGGCTGACGTCCAGTGGTTATGGTGAAATGTTTCGTAAAGTGAGTGACCAATAAGCAAGGTTTGTAATTCGGGTGGCAAACGTGAAATATTTATGTAATTTGGGTGACCAATCGTGTAATTCACCCAAAACTGAAATCTAAAAGATATAAATAATCTCAACGAGATGTCAAGCGAGATTGTGCAATTGTTCACATGGAATGAAATAACCTTTTTTTTTCCGGCGAGGAAAAACTGGTGTTTGAACTCAATGAATTCACCTTAACTTCTTGAACAACGATTAATAACATGGTTCACTCCTCTCCGAACAATGTTCGAACGAGGGTGTTTTATGTTTTTTATGGTTTTCAACTTGGTTGGTCAAGTGGTTCAGCATGACAATCTTGACGACATGATGGTTGAAGATCAACGTGATTTCAACTTGGAGTTCCTGCTGAGAGATGAAGGTCCCCTTATCGACTTGGATGAACTCCTGGGAGATAACCCAATTCAAAATTTGGATGCTGCGGAGGGCCAGGGCCGTGTGGCTGGCGGTGTGAATATTGAGTATGCTTAGATGGCTCAGAATGAAGATCAACTCCTGGTAGAGAACCAAGTAGAGGGCGTCATCCATCAGCAAATTATTGCAGCAGCACGGGGCAGGGGCAGGGGCAGTGGACGAGGTGGAGGTAGAGGTGGAGGTGGCGTGGCCGTTACAATTCAAGCTGGCGGCATTGCTGCTGCACGGGGCAGGGTAGGGGCCGTGGACGAGGTGGAAGTAGAAGTGGTAGAGGCGGTGGAGCAGCTGCACAGGGTAGAGGACGTGGTGGAGGTCATGGAGCAGTAGTTGATCTGCCGCAAGTGCTTCCTGACAATGCAGTCAAAAGCGCGATTCTACCTAGAAGCGGAAAATGGGTAAAATCGTAAAACGTAGAATCAAAGCGTAAAAGCGTAAGTTTTTGACGCATACTGAAAAATAACTAAAAATCTATTAAGTAGGACATATGCTATGGAAAATATGAATGCACAGAATTTAGATAAGTTAATAAATACATGTGATTCATGTTTAAAGTAGAGCAACTTATAGCATCTTAATAATAAGTTCGTAAACATAAATTTTGACGATAAGCCACTTTTCCCTCTATGCTAATGAATTTGGGAAAACCCTAGTTGGTGAATTAGATTACTCTATTGAAGTAGAATGCATCCAAGTACCTAGTATGTATCTTTTAATCTCAAATGTATCATATTGTTAGTGATTTACTTTAAAAATATACTTTTTATAATTAATTTCATGAAAAGAATACTCATGTAGCGAACTAAAAGCGTAAAAACGTAAAGCGTTTTGGTGAACTAGAACCGTAAAACCGTAAGTTTTTAAGTTTTAAAGCGCAATTTAGTCCGATTTTATACACTTAAGTTTTTATATGGAAACGAAAGCGTTTTGGTGACCCAAAAGCATAAAATCGTAAGTTTTTAAGTTTTAAAGCGCGATTTTGACTGCATTGCTTCCTGATGACATGACGACATTGAAGCTGTTATTGAAGAAACTTGATGACCTTTTCTATTATGTACCATGCATAACTACTCACGAGACCTAGCATGCCTGCTACTTGTGATCCTGGTAAGGGTTGATGTATGCAACGGACACTTGGCTAGAGTGGAAGCACTAAAGAACTTTGTCACATTTCTTCCTCGCCAGTGGAGCTTGAACTTAAGAGCAAGGATTGGTCTCATGGCACAACATATGCCCTCCTTGGAATTGCCTTCTAAGATCATCCACAATGTGAGTGGGAGGGAAAAGTGAGAAAATAGGAAAAAGAGGAAAAAGTGATATCTTGATCACAATGTGAGGGGTGGGAAAAGTGGATAATTTGTTTAACACTTTGTTGTTAAACTCAATCTATAGTTGATTTCCTCATATTACTTTTATATAATGTTCATTATTTTACGTAGTTAGTGATAATTAATTAATACGAACATTTCGATATAATTTTTTTAAAATTTGGACATAATTTTTTTTATAACTAATTAAATATAACGTCATTAATTTTGTCAATTGCGGATAAAACCAATCAAAATACCTCACAATAAAAGAAAATCATTAAAACAAAAAAATAGAACAAAAAAATAGAACAAAAAAAATTATATGCGGGCCCGGCAATGGGCCCCTCCTCCCTCCATTGCATCCACCATTTGTTTGCTAGTGGGTGGGTATTCCCACCAAATTTTCCCCTTTCTCCATCTTTTCCACTTTTCTCATCCACATTGTGGGTTATTTTCCCACTTTCCCTCCTAAACCCACCTACATTGTGGAGAGTCTAAGGAAGTGAAGCCCCGTGGTCTTGCTGGTGGTGGCGGCGGCCAGAGAGGTGGGGTTTGTCAAGTGGTTCAGCATGACAATCTTGACGACATGATGGTTGGAGATCAAGGTGATTTCAACTTGGAGTTCCTGCTGAGAGATGAAGATCCGCTTATCGACTTGGATGAACTCCGGGGAGATAACCCAGTTCAAAATTTGGATGCTGCAGAGGGCCAGGGCGGTGTGGCTGGCGGTGTGAATATTGAGCATGCTTAGATGACTCAAAATGAAGATCAACTCCTGGTAGAGAACCAAGTAGAGGGCGTCATCCATCCGCAAATTATTGCAGCAGCAAGGGGCAAGAGCAGGGGCAGGGATAGTGGACGAGGTGGAGGTAGAGGTGGAGGTGGCGTGGCCGTTCCAATTCAAGCTGGCGGCATTGCCGCTGCACGGGGCAGCGGTAGGGGCCGTGGACGAAGTGGAGGTAGAAGTGGTAGGGAAAAGTGGGAAAACATATGCCCTCATGGGACAACATATGCCCTCCTTGGAATTGCCTTCTAAGACCATCCACAATGTGAGTGGGAGGGAAAAGTGGGAAAATAGGAAAAAGTGATGTTTTGAGCACAATGTGATGGATGGGAAAAGTGGATAATTTGTTTAACACTTTGTTGTTAAAATCAATCTATAGTTACTTTGTGTTTTTTACCGTCTACAAATACCCAGTTCTCTATTCACCTCAACCACCATTTCTCTTTCATTCTCTTCACGTACCCCACCATGGCTTACAACTCTCCAAATTTCTGCCCGACGTGCGGCTGCTTCTTCCCCTTCACCGTCGCCGCCATCGACGACCACATCAGCCAACATCTTTCCGCCCTCTCCCTGCTCCTACACCGCCGTTGGGCAGCTCCGGGTCTTGCTACGACTTTAGCAGCTGGACTCTACTCGACCGAAACTGCTGCTACTCCTACAGCATGGGAGAATAGCCGTGCTCCTCCTCAGCCGCTTCCTTCCACCCGAGATCCTGGCACTGGGAGTCCTTCGCCGGTCGCGGCACCGGCATTTTTATCCCTGCCGTCGCGCCTCGTGATCCCGCCGCCGAATACTTCAGAAGCACGCTCCGTGGTTGGAGATCAAGGTGATTTCAACTTGGAGTTCCTGCTGAGAGATGAAGGTCCACTTATCGACTTGGATGAACTCCTGGGAGATAACCCAATTCAAAATTTGGATGCTGCAGAGGGTCAGGGCGGTGTGGCTGGCGGTGTGAATATGGAGCATGCTTAGATGACTCAGAATGAAGATCAACTCCTGGTAGAGAACCAAGTAGAGGGCGTCATCCATCCGCAAATTATTGCAACAGCACGGGGCAAGAGCAGGGGCAGGGATAGTGGACGAGGTGGAGGTAGAGGTGGAGGTGGCGTGGCCGTTCCAATTCAAGCTGGCGGCATTGCCGCTGCACGGGGTAGCGGTAGGGGTCGGGGACGAAGTGAAGGTAGAAGTGGTAGAGGCGGTGGAGCAGCTGCACAGGGTAGAGGACGTGGTGGAGGTCATGGAGCAGCAGTTGATCAGCCGCAAGTGCTTCCTGATGTACATGAAGACATTGGAGCTGTTATTGAAGAAACTTGATGACCTTTTCTATTATGTACCATGCATAACTACTCACGAGACCTAGCATGCCTGCTACTTGTGATCCTGGTAGGGGTTGATGTATGCAATGGACACTTGGCTAGAGTGGAAGCACTATAGAACTTTGTCCCGTTTCTTCTTCGCCAGTGGAGCTTGAACTTAAGAGCAAGGATTGGTCTCATGGGACAACATATGCCCTCCTTGGAATTGCCTTCTAAGACCATCCACAATGTGAGTGGGACGGAAAAGTGGGAAAATAGGAAAAAGAGGAAAAAGTGATGTTTTGATCACAAAGTGATGGATGGGAAAAGTGGATAATTTGTTTAACACTTTGTTGTTAAAATCAATCTATAGTTGATTTCCTTATTTTACTTTTATATAATGATCATTATTTTTACGTAGTTAGTGAGAATTAATTAATACGAACATTTCGATATAATTTTTTTAAATTTTGGACATAATTTTTTTCATAACTAATTAAATATAACGTCATTAATTTTGTCCATTGCGGATAAAACCAATCAAAATACCTCACAATAAATTAACACAAAAAAATAGAACAAAAAAAAAATTATATGCGGGCCCGGAAATGGGCCCCTCCCCCCTCCATTGCATCCACCATTTGTTTGCTAGTGGGTGGTTATTCCCACCCAATTTTCCCCTTTCTCCATCTTTTCCACTTTTCCCACCCACATTGTGGGTTATTTTCCCACTTTCCCTCCTAAACCCACCTACATTGTGGAGAGTCTAAGGAAGTGAAGCCCCGTGGTCTTGCTGGGGGTGGCGGCGGCCAGGGAGGTGGGGTTGGTCAAGTGGTTCAGCTTGACAATCTTGACGACATGATGGTTGGAGATCAAGGTGATTTCAACTTGGAGTTCCTGCTGAGAGATGAAGGTCCACTTATCGACTTGGATGAACTCCTGGGAGATAACCCAGTTCAAAATTTGGATGCTGCGGAGGGCCAGAGCGGTGTGGCATGCGGTGTAAATATTGAGCATGCTCAGATGGCTCAGAATGAAGATCAACTCCTGGTAGAGAACCAAGTGGAGGGCGTCATCCATCCGCAAATTATTGCAGCAGCACGGGGCAAGGGCAGGGGTAGTGGACGAGGTGGAGGTAGGGGTGGTATTAAACCACTACCACTTGTTGAAAGTAATCAATTTGGTATTAAATGATTTTTTAGTGGGAAACACCTATATATTAGCAAAATTACACAAATATTTTGGATGATTCAAAACCCAAAATAACAATAAAAGAAAAAATAGACACATCCTCCAGCATGACAGACCGATAGAGCCAACTTGTTGGCAGGGGTTGATGGTCCCCTTAAAATTTTCAAATTCATGTTAAATTCGTAGTGGACAAAGACTAGGATGTTGGCCTGAGCCTGGATAGTGGATAGGACGAAAGTTCACTCTTTATAAGCGGTATGTTGTTTGACCCAAAAGATTTTGAGGCCTTTGAAATGTTCTTCTAATATGTAGGTCTTCCTTTTTAGTTTGTCGTTAACTTTGTGAAAAATGGATTTGAATATTCAATTACATGTCTTAATATTACATTTTGGTAACAAAAGTGGTAGTGGTAGATAATTTTTGTTGGAATAAAATATTATCAGAATAAAGAAGGATATAAATGTAATTTTAATTAGGATGATTATAAAGTTAGGGCGACAATTAGAAAGCCCAAATTTAAGTGTCAAATTTTCATTTGTCAAAGAGGTTTTTTCAAAAACACCTCACTGTAATCATTAAACGTTTTAGGCATTTAGCGACCACAAATTGAAAAGGCTATCCAAGCCCAAAATAGTCTGGCCCAATATCAATAAAGCCCTGCTAAGTTTACCTTTTGCAGATAATAGTGAACGCTGGGAATGGGTCGGGCGGGTTCTTCACATGGGCCGTCCTCGACAAGCTCGGGGCGGACACGTTCGGGTCGCTCCACCTAAACCCGGACGGGATGTTCCCCAACCACATCCCCAACCCGGAAGACAAAACCGCCATGGCCGTCACCAGATCCGCCGTGCTGGAGAACTCCGCCGACCTCGGGATAGTCTTCGACACGGACGTCGACCGGAGCGGCGTCGTCGACAGCGCAGGGAACCCAATCAACGGTGACAAGCTGATCGCCCTCATGTCGGCGATCGTCCTTAGGGAGCATCCGGGGACCACGATCGTGACGGACGCGAGGACCAGCATGGCGCTCTCGAAGTTCATCACGGAGCGGGGCGGGCGCCACTGCCTCTACCGGGTCGGGTACCGGAATGTCATCGATAAAGGTGTCCAGCTGAACAAGGACGGAATTGATGCGCATCTGATGATGGAGACCTCCGGGCATGGAGCACTCAAAGAGAATTATTTCCTCGACGACGGTAAAACTTATTTATTTCTTTATAAATTACTATATCATCATATATTAATCCTCTCAATTTATTTGTTTTTTTATAGAATTGATTCTCTCCAACAAAACTTGAGTCCAAAATTTTCATTCCTATGTTAAAAAAAAATTCATTCAACAAAAAAAGATCCACTAGATTATTTTGTTTGCAATAGTCAATCCATAGATCTTTCGTTTTTCCAAGTTAATACCTTTCAATAGTTGGCATTAAAGTGAGTCCACCAAATTGCATGGCTCATACCCTCTCTACCAGGACGTATTTACGTGTGTTTGAGATTGTTGGATAGTACAAGAGAGCTTCATGTTCTTTGGATAAACTACATCCAACAGTTTGAAACACTTCAAAACACGTTCTAATAGAAGGGCTGTGAGCATTTTAGCAAGATTGTGATTTGTGTGGCCACATTGCCAATTGTGTGCTTGGACGCGAACGAGGCCGTGGCCGAGTGATCGTTCCGATGATTTTCAGTCAAGAGCCTTAGATTCGAATCCCAGAGATGACGCTTGATTCCTCCTTTCTCCACTACTCTAGTAGCACCTTAAAACAGGTCTTTGTAATAAAAAAAAATTGTGTGCTTGGGCAGAGTCCAATATAGAAAGGTGGAAGCATCTTTAATAGCCAAGTAAAAGAAAGATGAATGTTTTGTGGACTCGATAATGTATGTGATGGCAGGGGCATACATGGTGGTGAAAATCATAATCGAAATGGTACGGATGAAGCTGGGAGGAAGTGCGGAAGGAATTGGGTCATTGATAAAAGAGCTGGAAGAGCCCTTTGAATCTATGGAGCTGAGGATGGATGTTCAGTCGGAGCCCAAAGATGCAAAAGCAAGAGCCGTCCAGGCCATCGAAACCTTCAGAGAATTTGTTGAGGTGAATTTGATTTTTGGCCAACAAGTACGTACTAATAAACCGATTTTCTTGTGTGCTCTTGGAGATTGATGTTGTCGTTGTATTGCTGGCTTTGCAGGAAGGAAGAATTGAAGGGTGGGAATTGGACTCGTGTGGCGACTGTTGGGTCACCGACGGCTGTCTTGTTGACACCGACGACACTACGCCCGCGGCCATTGATGCTTACATGTATAGGTAACGTGCAATAATACAGGATAATGCATCACTAACTAGGATAAAAACGGTGGTTAATAATCACAATACGAATTCATGAAATTGTATGCATGGTTTGGAGAATGTAGGGCCAAAGTGTCGGATTCGATACAAGGAGAAATCGGTTGGGTGCACCTACGGCAGAGCATCCACAACCCGAACATTGCTGTCAACTTGCAGTCCATGGTTCCTGGTGGATGCCAATCCATGATCAAAGCTCTGAGAAACCAGTGAGTTGCTTCCTAACTATATAATCACTTGTCGTTGTTTGTATCGATTACATGAAAGCTAAAAGTTGCGTCGCAATGGTGTTGTCGTCAGGTTTCTAATAGCCAGTGGAGTCGAGCAGTTCTTGGATACAACTCAGATTGACAAGTGGGCAGAAATGAACTAAGTAGCAAACTCTATGATCAATTCTAGGTGTCTCCACATATTAGAGAGACAAAAAAATGGTGTATGATGTACAACATATTTGAAACGTCTTGCGATAAGAAACTATGTATGTAAGAGGATTCTTGTGTATATATGAGAAAGAACAATGGATATGGATGTCAACTCCTGCGGACGCTCAACACTTCCCTTTGTGGAAAATACTAATCTACAATTCTACATATCTCTTGAACCTACTTGATTAATGTGAAAGCCATAGAATTCAAGAGTGTTTTGTGTTCCATGGCAGAATCCCATCTGCCAACTACTAGACTTAATGAAAAGAAAATGAGAACCACAAGCTCTAAATCGCTTCAACTAAACCTAATAAATGCGTATATCCTAGAAGTTTTGTGAATGGGAGATTTGTATAAATGTGGAGTTTCTTTTGAAGCATGGCAGGCATAGAGAATTAGAGAGCATATTAAGAAAGAATACAACGAAAAGGAGCAGGGACTCTTATTTGAGAATTCAATCAAAATCAAAACCAATACTATATAGAAGTTCTACCCCAGAACCCCTTCAATTGTAATGTTACTGGCTCCTGCGCAGTTGGCGGAGGGCCATTATTGTAAAAACAGTATTTTAAGTGATAGAAGGGTTTTATTTTGTACGGGCATTGAAAGCAGAAAAGGAGCCAGTACTATATAGAAGTTCTACCCCAGAACCCTTCAATTCTAATGTTACTGACTCCTGCGCAGTTGGCGGAGGGCCATTAAGGTAAAAACAGTATTTTAAGTGATAGAAGGGTTTTATTTTGTACGAGCATTGAAAGCAGAAAAGGAGCCAATACTATATAGAAGTTCTACCCTAGAACCCCTTCAATTCTAATGTTACTGACTCCTGCGCAGTTGGCGGAGGGCCATTAAGGTAAAAACAGTATTTTAAGTGATAGAAGGGTTTTATTTTGTACGGGCATTGAAAGCAGAAAAGGAGAGTTTAATTAATGCTGGCAGCTTCTTAATTATTTTCATCCATTTTAGGCTTACCTCCTCCAAAATATAAAAAGAAATTTTTTTTATTGTCTCAGACTAAATATCTAAAGACACCCAATTCACGTGTTTTTATGTTCATTCACGCTATTTGGTGTTTATTCACGTAAGAGTGTAAGTCATTCATGTAAATGCAAATTTATACCTTTTTCCTCCAATAATTTGTAGTGGCTATATTGATCTGTATATATGTGTTGCATTGATAATAATCTACACAATGACACCCATTTTGATATATTCAAAGGTTAAAATTTGATTTTACAACGACATGAATAAATGACAATATACGTGGATAAACACCAGGTTGCCTGACTAAACAGTATGGTTGAGTGGGTAACCAACACTCTTACGTAAATAACGCCAATATGAATAAGTTCAAGTTTACGTGAATAGATGAAAACATGAGTGAATTAGATGTTCTGTCTGTCTCTAGAGGTGCCAAGAGACCAGATCATAAAATACATTGCTGACAGTTGATAAACATATATGAGCAAACTGAAATATTAATTTATATTTAATTCACATCGAGTTAATTAACAGTAATTATGGTTTCTTATATGGTGTGGTATTGCATTTTATTTCCCTAATACATATGCATTAGAGATATAGTTAATGGGTTTGGACACCTGTTAATTATATGAAAATGAAATTTGTCCGTGATAATTGTGTGCCACTGTAATTAGCTCTCTTTTAAATAAAGTTTTTATTGTATATTTTGCTCTCACTCTATTTTTTAATTAGATTGTCAATTCTATACATAATTGTTCTTTATTAGGGTTTCGTCAATGGTTTTATATAATCTTAGTTTTATAGGTGATCGATTACATGAGCATCGTAGTACGTACCTGTTTGAACCTAACTGAGTGTAGGAGGTAGGTTCGGGGAAGAAAGTGAGTCAAGCAGAGTAGACAACGAAAGATAAACAATCTCACATGGAATAGGGGTCGGAGAGAATGAAATTGAGAGAATTGGTTGTTTAGAGAGAGAAGTTGATGTTGTAGAGATAGAATGTCCTCCCCACCGATCCCCTCACCCACCGGAGTAAATGCCATATTTATAGGCTACATGGTGGTGGGTGAGTGGTTGAGTTACATGATGGTACAACGATGTGACTACTGACATGCCAGGGATTTAGGCCATGTCTCTACCTAGGACATGTCAGAGACTTATCTAGGATTGTGCTTAGAACCTTGATGTGACTACCCCTCGGGAAGTGAGACGACGCTTTCTACATCTCTTTGGTCTAGTCTATGCCTTGACCTTTCCACGTGCGCGTAGCCTGTGGCGCGCTCAGGATCTTCGCGCCGGGACGTGCTGAGGTGTCGCGCTCAAAGCCTTCGCGCTAAGCCGCGCTGGGGGTCTTCGTACTGGACCGCGCTGGATGTCTTTGGTCGCGACGCGTTCTTCTGGCACGGCTAGGTCCGAGTCACATGCCCAACAATTGCCCCCCATCAGGGGGTGTTCTGTGAATACCACCTGTTTAGATTTCCGCTTGATTGACTCGGGCCTGCGCGATCTCTGTGGGGTTCTTCTCGCTGGTTGTGCGCGTCGCTTTGAGCTACGCGCGACACTTGGGTTTCTTCGCGCTCGTTGTGCACATCGCTTTGAGCTACGCGCGGCGCTTGCGCTCGAGGTTGTGTTAATGACGCGGTTTCCGTGAGATTCTTCGCTTGTGCCAGCTAAGAAGGGAAGTAGGCGACCCCCAAGGAAAGAGACTCCTCGGGATGCTCAAGCTTCAACGACTACAGTTGCTAGGATTAAAATTCATGGCCTCTCTGGGGAGCAAATGTAGCAACTCGTGCAGTTCTTGAGTAAGGAAAATGGTCCAGGTGCTTCATCGTCGACCTTCGAACCTGCGTCAAACATAACTGGTAAGGACATCGGTAGTTCTGAATGGATTATCAACTCTGGTTGTAACGAGTACATCACGAATGATTCTAGCATATTGGAGAATGCCGAAAATGTTACAGGATATATCTTCCCGTTAAAATACCTAATGGTGATAGCATCCTAGTTACCAGATTTTGGTGATGTTCGATTGTCCCAAGGGATGAAACTTAGCCACATGTTGAACATACCCCTCTTTAAATGAAAACTCCTCTTTGTGAGCAGGTTTACCCAGGATTTTGACGTGGCATTGATATTTTTTCACGATTTTTGCGTTGTCCAAGACTTACTTGGTAGTGGGAAACTACGCGATGGCATTTACTATCTCTAGTTGTTTGGCAACACCAGGTCAAGGGCTTTGGCAGCATCCATTGGGGGTCCGAAGATGGATGAGGTTTGGCATTCGCGCTTGGGGCATCCATTGGCGGAGAAGACCAAGTTTTTGTTTGATTCTATTCAGAATAAATGCCCAGTTGCCTCGTGTGATTTTTGTATTCGTGCGAAGCAAACTCGTCTTCCCTTTCCTAAGAGTTCTATCAAGACTACTCGTTGTTTTCAGTTGATTCATGTGGATATTTGGAGCGGATTTAAGACACCTACACAAGATGATGCTCAGTATTTTTTTAACTATAGTCGATGATTTTAGCCGTGCTACTTGGGTTTATTTGATGAGGTATAAGTCTAAGACTGTAACATCCCGTTTTGGCTAAAATCGTATTACTGCCACTAGAAAATTTCACAATTTAAAATCGATCACTTAGGCAGTATTTCGACAAAAATCGGATTATCGATCGATCGGATAAGTATACGTATTAATTATATATATATATATATATATATATGGGGAGTTCTACGGTACCCCAGGTGAAATCCGGGGTACCGCATACCTTAAGTAAGAAAACCCTATCTAGAACTTGAATTGACTGATCTTTCGGACATTATACTATACTCTAACCCATAAAGATCAAAATCTAGGTCTTAATTCACTAAATCTTATACCCCAAGATCAATTTAATTAGAAACAATAATCGACGGTTATGATTCGTCCAAATATAGGCAAAAAAAGTAATGTTCCATCTTAGGGTTTATAGTTTATGATTTATATAATTAGGACCTAGGGTTCACTCATTAAGGGTTAGGGTATAGTATCATGCCCAAAAATCATGCTAATTCGAGGTCTAGATAGCGTTTTCATACTCAAGGTATGCGGTACCCCGGATTTCACCCGGGGTACCGTAGAAGGCACCATATATATATATATATATATATATATATATATATATATATATATATATATATATATATATATATATATACATGTCCAAGTAACGAATTATGATTAAGCAAGATGAGATATGAATCATGTATAAGGATACCAAATATGAGTGTTGTGGTCTCACGGTCAACTACATAGTAATTAGGGCTCCCTATGCTATTACTCTATTTTGATATGTATGATAGTCACACCTCTCATGTGGTGGTGACTGAAGAACTCTTACGAGATATGACCACACCCAGAGCGGTGTCGGGGTATGACTACACCCATAGTGGTGTGGGGTATGTATGACCACATCCGACGGGATGTTGGGGTATGTATGACTACATCCGACGGGATGTGGGGTATGTTTCCCGGGAGAGTTATTAGCATGGGAGTAGCCAGGCGCCTATGATTAAAACATGATAAGATGCATATGCATAAGTCAAGGTGGTTGAGTCTTTTGCCTATTGGGATGTCGGATGGCTGAGGTCTGATCCTAGTGCTTTGGCTTGTTTGCTAGATGTATGGTAGGGGTATGCTCTGTTATGAACTCACGATGCTATGATTATCTTACGCAGCTATGAGCTGACCCTCTTTATCCTTTTTCTCTGCTTATGCCATGTGTAAGCAGATCATCGTCATCAGCAGCAGTAGATAGTTGTATAGGTGGGAGCTGAGCAAGAGTTGAAGGCAAGATGAGGTATGGTCTTCAACTATTCTGTGCTTGGACTACTACTTGAGATTTTGGCCAGTGATCCACACCTTTTTGTAAAATGTTTTGAGAACGTTTTTCATGTGCATACTAGCTTCTGATGTAGTGTGAGACATCCACAGGTGTGGAAAGTTGATGATATGTGTATATTTGTGTAATTATGTAAGTTGTGACGATTATGGCATGTATCAGTATAGTATGCAGTTGTGTAACATGAAACTGTGACTATGGCTATGAAAAGCCAATGCATATGGCAGTGAGTGTATATGTT